ACTTTAGTGAGTTTTTTTAAACCAAATTTTTTCGCCCTTGGAAAACCTAGAAAGTTGTATATTCAAAAATTCCCCCACCCCGGGGGGCATACTGGCTGGGGAATTCTGGGAATTGAAGTCCAGACATCTTAACGTTGCTAAGGCTGAGAAACTTTGCCTTAGACAATGCACGCAACTTCTCACATGGGTTTTTTTTCCTTAGGAGGATAAAGAAGAACTCCATCATCTCTGAAGAGATCCATATTTGTACCAATAAGCTGGCGTTGTATCATGACATAACAGAGACTTTGCCAAAAATAAAAATCAGTCTGCTGCAATTAGATTATTTCCACCCAAAGCCCACTTGACTTTGCAGAAAACTCTTCTCAAAGTTTGATTTTTTAAATTGTAATTTTATTTACTTCATTTAACGTGTAAGCAGGTAAATTTGGAAGAGGTCTTGGAAGACTCTGCTTAAAAAGGTGGCCAACATTGCAGTAAAATAATTCAGGACCAAGCCTTGGAAGACAATATAAACCATAATCTCTGAGTATTACAAATACTAATAAACAAGCCAACTTTGAGGGGGGAAGAGGGGGAGAGAAGTCAGAAAAAAGAGATGAAACAATATAGTAAGCAACAAAGGAATATACCATTTTTCCTATCAATTTTGTCCCTCTAGTATTAGAAATTCTGAGTAGCTGTAAATTATACCAAGAATACAGTGTATGGACTGCAGTGAAGAAACCCATAATTCTGTTGGCAAAATATGTATATTTTCTTTTCATGATTAATACAGAAGGCAAGTACTCTCACCTTGTATGTTGCCCGTAGGTCAATCCAAGAATTTAAAATATCAGGCTTCCGTAGCTGTTTTCTTTTACATTCATAGTGCAAACAAATTCCCAGGTCCCAGTCTGCATAAGAACAAATATTCATAAACCTTTCCGGTTTCCTTATAATTCCCTCCATGGTTTTTCCCCCTCAGTGTGAAAATCTTCTCTGTGCAACCGTCATGATTTATTGCAAGAGAACAGTTCTTATGACAGGAGTCTAAATTATTCATTCCACTTTTTATGGAGAGTATCTATAGTTCTGTTGCCAGATCATGCAATGCCTACAGGGCAAAAGGGTTTCTGATTCCTTCAATAAAGCTTCTAGTCCTTATGATGGTAAAAGAGCCATGAAAATATGCAGCAGAGAGGGTAAAAGATCCAGGGGGAACGCAGACAGCAGCAGCAGGATTTTCAGAGGCACCATTTGACAGAGTAGAAAAATAGCCAATGTTGGCTGGTCTCAAAAAGCTAAGCAGACCTGGTTAGTATTTGAATAGGAAATTCCAGAGCTGTTGGTGGATTCAAAAGTTAAAAAGCATCATAGAATAACCATTTCCATTTTATTACCAAGGGAACCACAGTCTTAAATCTTCAGCAGGCCCAGAAATGAAGAACAAGCAAACGTTACCATAGATAATGTTGATAAACATTATGAATTACCTGACCATGTAACAAAGGCACATAATTTTTCTTCAGGAGCAGCACAAGCTGAACCAAAACCAATGTTTTTCTCCTTTTGGATCTTTTGAATCCACTTAGAAAATTGGGATAGGCATATATGTAGAGGAACTCCTTCGTCAACTTGATTCTTAATTTAAAAAAAGGAAAAAGATCTTGCTGAAAATATTTAGAACCTAGTTTTAGATTTGGTTTTATCAACACTGATATTGATATTTCTGATTGGCCCATAAAGTCAAGTTCTCCTGACATCATGTAAGAACCAAAATAAAAAAACCTAATACACAAAACAGTGAAAACAACCAATATTTATCCATTTTTACTTTGATTTCCAAGGCTACCCATTGGTGCCTGACTAATATGTATTAGGCCCACCTTAATGAATAAAAATTAGCAGCTAAAAACAGAAAAGGAATTAAAATCATCACTTTAAAAATGAATTAATAAAAATGAAAACTTTTTCGGTCATTTCTATGGCCTTGGAGAATCAAGGAAAAATCATACTGTGATGATGAAAAAAATGGCAGTAGCCAGAAGCAAATTCTTTTGGAAGAGTGTTCATCAAAAGTTAAGTAGAATGAATAATGCTTCAAAACAAACTGAAACTTTGAGCACAAATTGAAACTGAATCTATTGAATATATCTTCATTCATTCATCCATCCATCCATCCATCCATCCATCCATCCATCCATCCATCCATCC